AAGGGAATGTATGACGAGATCAAGCAGGCTTTAGGTCAGTAGTAATACTACCTAGCATTCATCAAAATCAATTTTTACAGGTGCGCTGCCCCTGCGAGGTGGGACAAAGGGACAAGAATCGATCCAGGGTCCTCCTCCTGGGTGGGCGGGGCTTTAGGGTGATGTAGGGGGACTGGTGAAGGCGCCGTGGGCCTATGGGAGGGGGTTCAGAGATGCCGGGGGGGTCCCCTGTGACCGGAGTGCAGCCTGAAGTGACGTGTCACCCCCCCACGGCCCTGTAGGCCAATGGGGAGAGGTTGGAGGGGTTTGGCTAGAAAAGGGGTGGCCGTACAAAAAAAAAAAGAACTGCTATCTCCTACCGTGTTGTGTTCATGATGCTGGAGAAGATGCTGACCTATCTGGCTGAGCTATTGTGGTGGCATAAAAAGTTGTTACTGCACTGAAGGAGCATTTCTTTCAAAACAATTTTAAAAAACAAGGGGGCTTGAATGCTGGAGAAAGGACAGTTAAGAAGGCTGAAATAACGGCACCCAATAAAGGGTAGGGGAGACAGGGGGGCGGTGTGACATGTGCACACTTGAAATACACCTTCTCAGGCTCATTAAGCAGTTCTGAAGTTTGAGATGCTGCTAAAATCTTCGGCTTAGATCTCAAGGTAACTTAAAACAAGTTGTCAAAAATGAAGCTTTGTTTTCATCCTATTTCACAATGTTCCTACATTCTTTTTGAGGGAGCAAGAGCATAAAGGGGTACAAGAGATTGAACAGTAAATTTCATTATGGGCTAAACTAAATTTTAATTCTAGCTCTCTGATGCAGGCCTGCCATGTAAACTGTATTGCCCCCCCCACCCCGCCCCCAAACAGAAGCCTCTGAGCTTCAAAGGAAGGCCACCTTGTTCTGTGCCATTATTTCAACCCTCTTAACTGTCCTTTCCCAACAACAGACTGTTTGTTTCCTTTTGGCAACAAACAGAGTTTTTAAGATACAGTATACTACAGAGCCTCTCTTTTATCATACCAGGCCAGCAGCAAAACAGGTACAGTACTCACTATTTCTGTCCAATTTATCTGTAGTTCGTGGGACTTCGAATGCTTCTTGTATTATTTAGCCGTTCTCTACCACAATCAACAAAGAGATTTTTGTGATTCTGTTTTACAAGTCATGATTTCTACAGTTTTCATCCTAAAATCCAAAATTATGCTCAGCAACAAGAAGGTCAAGACCAACATATGTTTATAAATACAGTATAGTTATGTAGAAGTATGACGTTTCCTTTCTGTCACTGATATATAAATGGACATACATGGTTAGCAAACAAGGGCTCAGTTCTTCTAAAAATAAATGTAATGGAAATTAATACTACTCAATACAGCTCAAAGACTATTCTAATGTGTTCTCAATGCAATTAGTGCAGGCAGCTATCTTTAAACTTTGGGTCACCTTCATGCTTAGATTTTGTTGGATAGATCGTTATTGCCATTATGATTCTGAACACCATATATATTTTTAATGACTTTTATGACAATATAAACTTTTAGTGTAAAGAGCTCAAAGTAGACATGTTCTTGATTGGGTCAGTTATTAAGTATTTAACTTAATAAAATAAAATAAATAAAAAGGTCCACATAGTCAAAGCTATGCTTTTTCCAGTAGCGATGTATGGAAGTGAGAGCTGGACCATAAAGAAGGGCGACCGCCGAAAAATTGATGCCTTTGAATTGTGGTGCTGGAGGAGACTCTTGAGAGTCCCCTGGACTGCAAGGAGAATTAACCTATCAGTTCTGAAGGAAATCAACCCTGAGTGCTCACTGGAAGGACCGATCCTGAAGCTGAGGCGCCAATACTTTAGCCATCTCATGAGAAGAGAAGACTCCTTGGAAAAGCCCCTGATGTTCGGAAAGTGTGAGGGCAAGAGGAGAAGGGGACGACAGAGGACGAGATGGATGGACAGGGTCATCGAAGCTACCAGAATGAATTTGACCCAACTCCGGGAGGCAGCGGAAGACAGGAGGGCCTGGCATGCTCTGGTCCATGGGGTCACGAAGAGTTGGACACGACTAAATGACTTTACATTCTTTTTTCAGTTCCTTCTTGTCTACTTCTGAATGATTTAATAAAATACATTTGGATTTCAGTTCACTTTTAAACCAATTATTTCTTCAAATAAAATTAAATGTGTTCTGATTTTCTGTAGTGTATCTTTTTGATTTTTAATTATTAATAATATATCATCTGCAAACAAGTTTATTTTATCCTCTCTGGTATCTACACCTTTAATTAAATGATTGTTTCTAATTACTTGTCCCAGCACTTCTCTTACCAATGTAAATAGAATTGGAGATAAGGGGTAACCTTGTCTCTTTTCTCAGCCTAGGAATATTGATTCAGTCATACCATCATTTATTATTTTCACAGAGTTCTGTGAATATAGTTGTTGAATTATTTGTTGAAACTAAGTGCCAAATCCTATGTTTAATCAAGATTTTTAATGCATACCATTCAACTGAATCAAAGGCTTTGAAAATGTCTAGGGCTACCACTCCTACTTTGCATTTTGATTCCTTTGCCAGGTGCATTAAATTAAGCATCTTTCTCATTATATCTGACATCTGTCTACCTTGTAACAATCCATTTTGCTCTTTCTCAATATATTTCCCTTTAAAATTGTTTAATCTTGCTGCTAAAATTCCTGTGACTATTTTAGCATCTTGAAATCAGCCTGTAAGAGTCCATGTTTATAGGGTTTTTACCAGGTTTTACAATTAGAACTATTAAAGATTCCTTCCAGGACTTCCTTCTACCATTATAGAGTAGACTATGTCTAGATGGGCGGCATATAAATGCAATCAATCAATCAATCAATCCTCTAATTTTGGGATTATTATTATTATTATTATTATTTGTAATACTCTGGGCCTAATCCGACTGTGCCGGGTGTCTTCCCTACCTTTAACTTATTTATAATAACTTCCATCTCTTCTTAGTTAATTGTTCTCTCCATTGTTTCTCTATCCTCATCTGTTAATACTTTCTTACAAGTTCTTTTTTGTATCTTCTTCAATCTTTCCTATAGAAGGATTCTTACTTGCTCCTAACACTAATCTTGTGCCACACACCCTTTGGCAGGTCAGCATTAATGTTTCATGACCTCCAGTGTGAGGGTCACCATGCTCCGGTGTGGGGCAGCGTCCAGGCCCAGGGCTTCACCTGGTCCTCTGATACGGGCACGCATGCCACCTGCTTCTCATCGCGCCATGCCCCTAATACCCGCTGTGGGAAAGAAGGGAATAAGGACCCCCCCAGTCAGCCCCATTGCCACTCCAGTGCTTGGAAGGGGTGGGAGCCAGGGTGGGGGATGTGGCCTAGCACAGAGACTAGGCCTCAGACAGTCTGGGTTCGAATGCCTGGCCATGGATTTTATGGGCGACCCTGGGCTTTCAGCCAAATCCGCCTCGCAGGGGTGCTTTTACGAATGAGGATAGGGGTTGTTGCCAGATGCTCCATTTCCAGCTCAATGAAGGAAAAGCAAGACGTAACCGAAACAGCCAGTAGTCTTGCACCCCACAAGGCCCTGCACCTGATGCCCTTGAAAGGGGTGGCCCGAACCTTATTCTGGGGTTCACACACACACCCCTCCTAGATTCTTGTGCCTTTCCCTAGATTTGCAGGCTCTAATGATCAGGAGCGCCTCACGTTGGGCTCCATCGTATGCCACTCCGAGCCCTTGGACCAGATGCTCTTGGGGGGGGGGCATTCCACTGAGACCACGGACAGATCACCACCAGATCTTGTCTCTAATACACTTGGGGTGCCATGCCTGTTAAGGTGTCCCTCCCTGACCCCTGATCCATGGGCTGAACCAAATGCCAAGTCTAAAGGCAAGCCAGGCAGGATGCTGGGGGGCCCAGGCCCAGCTGATAGCATGTACGGGGGGGGGGAGGGACAGAAGCAGGCAGACAGACAGACACAAGAGAGCCTGGTCTCTCCAAAACCTTGCCAAGGATTTTCCAGCAACCTGCGCTTGGCGGCTGCTGCTGCTGCTGCTGGTGGTGCTCTCCAGCTCAGGCACCCTTTGCCTTGCTCTGCCTTGCCTTGGGAGAGACTGGGTATAAAGCTGGCTCCGGCCCCTCCAGGCAGCCCCAGGCTCAGGAGAGGTATAGGAGCACACGGACCAGAGCAGCAGAGGCCGCTGAGAAGCATCGTCCAGCGCCTGGACCTTCCAGAGGCTCTTGGAGGACAAGTTGTTTCATTACCTCTGATCACTGGCCACGGCGGGGGCCAATTTGGGGAGGGCAAAGTGTCAAGATTTGTTCCTTTAAGTAAACAAGGGGTTAAATTTAATATTGTAGTAAAGAATGCAAAGTCATGCCCCTAACGTCAAAGTCAATGGATGAACGGATAGCATACAGATGGGACAAGCTTAGGTAATGCTTGTTAAACATGTTCAGCTCCCATGTCTGCGGTGATCGGCTGCTCTCAATATTTAAGCAGGAGAATGAGAGCAGCCCTTCGACAATCAGTTGTGAGTCTGGTGGTCGTTTACTTGAATGTGAATGTTACGTTGCTCTGGAATATTCCATGCCAATGTATATATTGCCATATACCAAGTCTAATATATAATGTTATAAGTCTTACCAGAACTCTCTCCATGTGTATTTTGTCACATGTCCGTGTCTTTATTTTGCTAATTAAGGGGAGGATTTGAAGCTACCAGATAAGAGGCTCTGTGTAACTTGCTGTCTTGGGCTCCAAGGTTTGTTTTCCCTAACAGAGTGCTCTTGCAAGCTTCCTTATCCGAATCTGACTCCAAGCTTCAGGAGAGGCAATACGCCATAGCAAGCAAGCCTCTGGAGTTGGCCCCACGCCAAGACGAAGATCCTCTCCGCCTCCACCTTTTAGCCTCTGTTGTGCCAATACGGGAAGGCGAGGACCCTTGAAACCCCAAAGAGAGGCTGAAACAGCTGCGTCAGCTGCCCGTGACCCAAGAGTCTCTCTCTCCTTCTCTCTGCGAATATTTATTGGAATCCAGCACACGTACCAAACGCCATGGACACAGACTGGCCAGGACACACGAAATATTAAGGCAATATTAAGCGGTATTAAGGCAACAGGCAGGCCCCGTGCTCTTCTCACAAGAACCAGCTTCTTCTCCTTTTGCCATTTCTAAGTGTGGTTTCAGCGTTTGCCCTCCACGGTGCCTGCCTGCCTGCGGGGAAAAGATTAACCCAGGAAAACACGTCATTCCACCCCGCCAGCCCAGGGGACCTTTTGGCCTCCTTCAGCTTCTTGAAACATCGCCTGGGCAAGGACAGGGTCAGCCGGACCCTCTTTCTTCCTGATGGGGTCGGGGGGTGGTGGTGGTTCAACACTTCCAGAGCGTGCAAGGCTGGAAGGGAGCGTTCCAGCTGCCCCCACCACCACCACCACGTGGCTTTTCTCTCCAACTGTTTTCCTGGTGGGTGGAGAGAGAGGAGGGTGGCCCAAAGGCCTGCCCCAAGGAGACGGAAAAGGGGGGCCGGCCCGTACTGAGCAAGGCTGTGGGGAGACTCAGTTGTCTTGCTGCTCCTCAGAAAATGATCATCCCAGGGCAGCTACAGGCAAGCGAAGGACTTTCCTGAAAACCCAGGATAGAGGTCGGGGAAACCCTCCTCCACTGGGAGGGGGGGCGGGGGGGCCTCAAGGCACTGGGAGGGGAGCAGTGACAGAGGGGGGGGGATTTCTTCCCCACGACTCTGCCCCGCCACTACCGCAGGCTGAGGTGCTGAGCAGCCAAAGCCACAGTCCCACCTTCGGCCTCCCACAGGTGACCTCATGGCTCACGGGGGCCCCCACAACACCTGACCCAGCCGGGCTGCTGCTGATGACCTTGAGCAGCTGATGGCCGGAGTGGAGATGCCTCCCTTGGTCCAGGAAAAAGGAGGCTGCCCCCCGCCTCCCCTGAAACATGGCACCGCATGTGCCTGTTCATACACAGGGTTCATACGCAGAGGGAGGGATGGAGGGAGGGACTGGGCAGAAGGGGGGGGATCCCAGCTGCCACCAAGAGTCGGACATGGCCCGAACACAGAACACGGCTGCAAAAATGCTGAGCAAGGGAGGGCGAAGGACTGCTTACACACGAGCAAGAGGCACACGCGTGGCGGGGGGAAGGGGTCAGAGGTTAGAGCATGCTTGGTTAGCCAAGCCCCATCTGGACACATAAAGGTGAGGAGGGAGGGAGGGAGGGGCGGGGGGGCTCAACGGGGGCTGGCCAGGCTGCTTTCATCGGTGAGGTTCTTGAAATCCATAGACAACGCCAGCTCCTCCGCCACGGGGGGCCTCTTCCACTCTTCCCGGGTCAGGACGTAGCCCACCACAGCCCCGAAAGCCACCAGGAGCAGGCCCAGGATGTTGGCAAGCACCCCCTCGGGGGCAAAGGAACTGTAGGAATCCCTGCAAGAGCAGACAGGGTAACGTTAGCACCGGGGAGCCCGGGGAGGGGGGGGGCTCTTCCTCCATTTCCCCCCACCCACACACACAGACACACACACTGCCCATTCTGCTCCTCTGCCTAACATGGTCGCATCCCACCCACCCCCTCACTGTGGGGAGTCTCTTAGCCTGCATCAGGGCAGTGAATTCCACGTTTTAATGAAGAAAAAAAATCTGTTATTTTAACAATTAACCCCAGTATATAGTAGCAACTCTTTTTTTCTCATAACTTTAATTCACTCCTGGGTGATGCTCATTATCTTAACTGATGGTTAAAACTAATGTACTACATTTACTAATGTATTAAGCATACCCATTTTATATATTTACTGTAATGTTTTAAGTTTAACAAAGTTATTTGTTCCATAGGTCAACATCAACATGCATTAACCATCCACCACGCCCATGCATCTGAAGCGTGGTTTCTGCCTGCCAGATGGGTCTCCATCTTGCCTGGGGGGACCCACCTTCAGGACCCTGTGCTAGGAGACCAGGAGAGGTGCCTCTCCTTTTCCCCCCATGCATTTTAACCATTGAGGCGGTGGCGCAATCATACCCGAGCATTCCCTCTCTAGCTGACTAGGCAGCTGGCAACGATGACAGAAGTGGGGCAGTAACTCTTCCCATCTGGATTACTCCGGTGGGGCTCTATGTGGGGCTGCCTCCAAAGACTGGCTGGAAAGGTCCTTCTCTTCCAAAGGCTGCAGCCAGACGGCTGACCCGAACCAATTGCAAGGGGCACCGAGCTCCTCTCCCTGGCCAGCAGCTTCATGGGCTGCCAGCTGGTTTCTGGGCACAGTTAATAAAGGCTTCATGGCTCGGGCATTGGAAGGACTGCAGCTCTCTCTCCATGTAACTTTAACCCAATTTTGAGAGAATCAGGGGAGACCTTTCAGTTCCCCAGTCCTCACCGAGGAGGCCTTCTTTGGGGCTGCTCCCAGGCTATGGAACTCCCTCCCTCAGGAGGCTGCTTTGGCCCCATCCCTCCCACGGTTCTTGATAAGAGAGAACAACCGGTTCTTTTCAAGCTGGCTTTTGTTAACTGGGGCTCCGGAGAGAAAGGAGTTTTAAGGCGAGACGCAGTATCCTTTGCCACTTTGTGATGCGTTCTAAAACTGTTCTATAAACAGCTTTTAAGTGAATGGCTTTTTAACACTGGTACAGGTTTAATCATATTTTAATATTCTAATTCATTTGTGATTTTATTTGTATCTGTTTCTTTAGACATTCATTTGTAACCGATTTTGGATCCTCTACAGGGACACAGTTGGGGCAGGCATCAAATCAATTGATACGTTAAAATTATAGGACCCACAACAGAGACCCAGTTCTCTCCTCTCCCTTCTGGGGGGAGGCTGCGAGAAAGGCATCTTCACTAGCTTTCTTGGAACCGCCCTGTAGCGCCAGCCCTGTCCTGGTTGCTCCCTTGTCTACTACTACCTTCTTGCTGTAAAGGCATTTTATTTTACTTTATTATTTTAAGGACCCGGCACTCTAGTTAACAGCCAGGTTGGCGCAGTGCGGGCAACTCTCAGGCCGGCATTCCAGATTTCCCAAGAAACAGAGAGAGGGGCCTCCCTGGCAACCCACCCAATTGACATCCATGGCATGCACACGCTCGCTCACACAGAAGACGAGGACGTGGACACACAGGCCCACGTATGTAAACCACTCACTTGATTCTGAAGAGCAGCAGTTCCAGAATCCCAAGCAGGGCGGTGGCGATGGAGAGGGTGAGCAGGAAGCCTCCGAAAAAGACGTGCTGGGGTTTGTACCTGCTGCGGAGTGCGAAGGAGGCCCCCGGGAAGAGGAAGAAGCCCAAGCCAAGCAGCCACTGGAGGGAGAAGGCCAGACCTCAAGGACTGCATGTCAGAAAACCCTGAGAGAGAGAGACTCTTCTCTCCCCCCCCAAGGAGCCTCCCTCCCTCCCTCTGCTCCCTCTTCCCTTTCACCAAGGATGGATCCCTCCCTGAAGGCCCTCTCCTCTGACCCTGGGGGGGGGGCTCTCAGGGGGCCAGAGCCACACCATGTCCTGAGTGGGCTGCCACACCACGCTTGGTTTCCGAATGCAGTTCTATATGCAAGTGGACATCCCCGCACCCTTCAAGGCAGTCAAGGCAGGAAAGGGGACTCACAGACAAACAGAAGTAAAAAAAAAAAAAAAGGGAACAGGGATTCTGGAGGGAAGAGACAATTCCGTGCGGGTGGCCTGCAAAGTGGGTGCAATGCTTGCCTTTGTGCCTGAAAACAACACGGGGCAGCAAAAGTGCCAGCTGGTGGCATTGTTAGGAATATTAGGAAAAATCTCTTAACTGTTAAAGCATTATGACAATGGAACCAATCGCCTTGGGAAGTTGTGAGTGCTTCAGGTCAGGAAGAATTCAAGAGAAAATTGGACGACTAGCTGCAAGATCTGCTTTGACTTGGGTCCCTACATTGTGCAGGGAGTCGGACTCAACGGCCTCATAGGCCCCCCCTTCCAACTCCATTATTCTACGATTCTACGACCATCCCTTGCACCCCCAACCCACCCCTCCAGGTGCCTTCCCTCCCTTGGCTGCAGTTCTCAAAGCAGCCAGGAAACACACTTTCATTGCCAACTGTGGCAAGCCCCCCCCTATTGCAACACAAAGTCCTTGAGGGTGAATTGCTCTTGCACAGGCAACTAAGAGCCATCTGCATTACAAAAGACCTGATCCTCCTTTGTGGATTATGAACTGATGCAGCATTTTTCAACACTGCTAGCAGGAAGGGTTCACGTTTGGGGACTGTCATAATTAGTGCCTGCCGTTCTGAAGTGAACACTAAGCCACTACTTTGGGGGCTCTGGTCGAGGGTTTAGTCAAGGCCCAAACCTCCTCCAGTCTCTCCTTGCCCCCCTCCCATCTTAAAGCCCCCTAAACTGGGATGGTGGAGGGTTTCGGGTTTCTAGGCAAAAGCCACTTTTCCCTTCCTTCCAACATCTGCCTGCTTGGTCACTGAATCAGTTGGAATGCCAGTCCCAGTCACAGCCTGGCACCCAGTTTCCCCTCTCAAGAACTGGGACCCCCCCCTCCCTGCAGGAAGACAAAGTCAGGAAAGGAACGCTTCCCCACAGCCCAGCCCCACGGGAGAGAACAGGAGACCTCTGCCTGGAAAGCCCTGCTGTCGCTGCCCCACAGTTTGTGTGTGTGTGTGTGGGGGGCTCCTGGAATCTATTGCTGCAAAGTACCATGACCCATAGAAGGCAGGGACAGCCTGGGGGGGGGCTGCAGGGGGACATGGTGGGCCCCGCCCCCCAGGGCAGGTGGGGAAGGTGGAAATCCCAGGAGCCCTGGCCCAGATTCCAGGTGGAAGGAGAAGACAAAGCCCATGCTCCAAGGCCTTTGGAGAGTGGGCATCCGGGGGAAGTTGGCGTGGGGCAGGCAAGGACCGGCGCATTCGGCTGGGCTCTGGGGGAGCCGGGCCCCCCACCCCTGTGGAACACCCTGCGTGACCTTGGATGGGTTGGCCAGGCAGACCTACCCCACAGGGCTGCTGTTGGCATGAGGGGAGGGGGAGGGCCTTGCACCCCCCAAAGGAAAGGGTGGTCCATGGTTATGTTCACAGAGTCACCCTAGATTCACCACGAGGCCCTCCATCGCCAACCGAGCCCAACCCATTCCCTCCATGTAGGAAGGCCTCAAGGCCTGCCCCCAGCCGCTAGGCAAGGCGGGGGCCCGCCGGGGCCCCTACCCGATCCAGAGGGTGCCTCACACCCTCAGCAGGAGCTGAAGGCTCAGAACCTCACCAGCTCTTCCCAACATTGCACCTGCCCCCCCCCTTCCGCTGGCCAAGCCCTCCTTAGGCAGGCTGGCCTCACCGCCCCCTTCCGAGGAGGCCAGCCCCACGCCAGCCCCTCACCTGGACAAAGTAGAGGCCAAAGGCGGTGATGCCACACCAGCTGTGCAGGCTGTACATGTCCGGGTAGCCCTTCTTCTGGTGGCTCTGGAAGACGGCGATCAAGCCTGCAGGAGGAGGGCGGGAGGGGGGGGCGCAGGTGACTATCTTGCCCTCCCCCTCCCCCCTTCCCACTCCCAGCCCCTGGACAGCCCTGCACGAAGGAGGCCCAATTTCCCTGGGAGTCGCCTGGTGGAGGCAGGGGTGCTGAAGGTGACTGGCTATGGGGGTGGGTGGGTTAAGGGAGACAATGTGGAGAAGTCCTTGTACCGTAAGCGAAGGTCAAACCCTGCTCTGCCTTATTATTCTCCCCCAGCTTATCCCAGAGGGGGAAGTAACACTGAGCATCTGCGCGGGCAGCCGAGGGGGGAAAGGCCTGCCAGCTCCTGGCACCACCATGGGCTCCACAGACCGGGTGATGAGGCCAGGGGTTTTGGGCTGTCAAAGGGGCAGAGGGAATCCTGGAAGGGGGCAGGGGGAGGACAGAGACGCCTGACGGAGCAGAAGGCTCTGCTCTCCCTTGGCGTAAAGGCACCCACCTGCCCCCTTGCCCACCCGCCCGCCTGTTGCAGTGGGGTGGCGGGCAGGGGAGCCGCAAGGGCCGGCTGCAGCAGGACGGATCCAGACGACTCACCAACCAGCGCGACGATGAGAGCGAGGGCGTGGAGGAGGCCGTGCAGGACCTTGGTGGAGCGCTTGCTCTCGTTTCGGAAGACGCGGTAGACGAGGAGGGCTGCAAGACAGAAGGCCGTCAGGGCCGGCCGCCGCAGCCCCTGCTCTGCCTGCCCGTCCCCTCTGGGGAGGCCGCGGTGGCGGTGGCCGGAGGGGGGGGGAACGGACGGACCAGGGGCTCCCCCGGTCAGACACCGAGAGGCTCTACCTGGCCAGCTGCCCCACACCCCTGCCTTAGTCACCAGTGAGGAGGCACCCGTTCTGTGCCTGGCTGGCTGGGGGGGGGGGAGGGGGTGGCCAAGG